TGCCCACTCTTCTCTCGTGATATTCCGTAACTTAACTACTACGACATAAACCTGGATGCTGTTAATATACATGTGTGATGATAAGAGGATAAGCAAGAGGAGAAAACAAAATCATTTAATTAATACATATATATACACACAAAACATATTCATAACAAAATAAGGGAAGAAATATAATTATAGTCCTCATTTCTGCAACTGGCTACATGATCTTAGCTGCTATTTATAACTTCTTTCATCACTCATTCCCTTTGTCCTCAGCAGGCACCCCAGCTTGTCATGGTTCTTTGCCTGGTGAATGACCCAAATATTTATTCCTGAAGGATCTGGGCTGTTAGCAATCCTGCCTGAATTGAGTGTTGTAGTTTTCCATTGACTTTGATTCCAAGACATGGTAATACTAAAAGACATCCCAAGGGATCTCCTGTGTTCCAGACATCCCCTTCCTAACCCCCATTGTGTGGGAGCAACCCAGTTGCCCCTTGGCAGTCGGGATCCATCACCCCAGCCAGCCCTGTAACTCTCTTTCTGCCTGTTGATTCGGAGGCATGAGGAGCCCCTCTTAACTTCTAGTTCAATGGAATCATTGTTGCTTCTCCTGAAGGAAGCATTCCTCCCTCTGGAACTAAGACCTCTAGGTCAACAGAGTATAAAGGGACAGAGATGGAAAGCAAAAGCTATGCTAGAGAGTCACTAGGGATCAAGGAGATCTCTTTGAGAGGACCCGGAGATCACAGAGTTGCAGTGGCGGCACGCATTACCATTAGAGTCCGATTTCCTATCACATTTCCACTCCTTGACCCCTGGGCCTGTGGATTCTGGCAATGGAAGAAACAGCACCATGTACTGAATACTGATTTACAGTAATTCTGCCATGACTTTTAATGGTAAAAACCTCATCTACTTTTTGGCAATAACCGCAATTACTTTTGCACCAACCTAATATCAAGCCAGAGACTTCAAAATGGCAGGAATATGGCAAGATCAGTGAATTCTGCAAGTGAGGGTCCACACCTGTACTTCACTTGCTGTGAGGTGATTTCCTTGACCAGAAACAATTGTGTGGAATACCATGATAAAGGTTAAGGTTGTCTCTAAGTCCATGCATGGTAGTTTGTGCAGACGCATTGAGTGTAGGGAAAGCAAGTATATATCCAAAGAAACCACCCCATCGAGGATTTCATCCCATCCATCAGAGCCTGGGTCATGTTTCATCTCCTCCATAAAGACTTAGTAACCTCTCAGACCAATCCAATGCTCATTCATTTTACTGACATTTATTGAGCGCTTTCTGTGTGCAGGACACCCTGTTAGGTGCTTTGAAAGAACTTAGGAAATAGTAAAATTGAACAAACAAGTTCCTTTTCTGTGTCCTTGCAACCCAGGAGCCATTGGTTTGACCTCAGGGCTGGGCAGTTTTCTCTGCCCTGGCAGACTGTGGGTGTCCTGAGGGCATGCTCTACATCCTCACCCCCAACTCGCATAACACTCAGGACGTGGGATGTGTTGGAGACCTCCTGGAAAGGCCTGGAAAACATGCAGCTAACAATTTCACAGAAGTCACTTCTCTGGATGTAACCGGCAGGGACTCTGCCCTCCCCAGGGAGGGAGCAGATGTGAGTGGTGCTGTGAGGAAGGCCCTTCCTGCTGCCTGCTTGCTGCCCTGGCACTCAGCTCACCAGTCCTTCCACTTAGACAAAATCTGCCTCATCTTTAGGACCACATTGTTTCTATCCAATGCACAAAATCAGAGCCAGTCTGAAAGAGGGCAGAGAAAGCTATGTGACCCCACAGGCCACCTACAAGCCATTCCTGTCCTAGCACCTGGTGAAAGTCTTCTTAAAGCCAGTGTTGGTTCCTGCTCCCCCGATCATGCCACCTTTCCTGCCTCTGGGCAGCCACCGTACTTTATTGATTCATATTGGCACTATCCATCGGGCACTGCATAGCTACTATGTGCCAGGTATTACAAATTTGTCATCTTCTCAAATTCTAATAACAACCATAGTTAGTCATCCTAAGCTTCATTTACATTTGATTAGCATTTACTGTAGTCCCTGCACTTTGTCTCAGAAGAGCTGGATCCAGGCAGGGTGAGCTTGGGCAAGCCTTTCTCCTTTCTGGGCCTGGAGTTTGAGACTGTGAAATAAGGTAACATTTGGACTGAATGATGCCTGAGTCCTTTTCCAGGTAGGTTATAAATTTTTAGGCACAGCATAAAAGCCAAAGACCTGACACTGTGCCCGGCAAAGATGAACACAACCAAAACTTCTGCAGTCTGCGGGGAGCACTGGTTTCTTTAGGAACCTGCTTTTGAAGCCATGTTGTTTGCCTGGAAGCTTCCCACTTACTCCAGTCTTTGCAAACCTATTTTGTGGATATATGTGCAACAAAACTGACATCATAACCATGTGGTAGACCACGGCACTGGTCCTAATTTTCTGCCCTTCCCTATGTCCATGAGTAGGGCAGGCTTCCTTTTCTCTTTGGGTTCAGCCATGGGACTTGCTTTGGGCAGTGGGCAGAGGCGAAGGTGTCACCAGAGGCCGTGCACTCTTCTGTTTGCCTTCTTGCCACTCTGCCATCACAATGAGACAAATAAACCCAGACTCATTGACTCATCCCAGGAGGAGGATGAGCATCATATGACACAGAGCTACTCCTAGCCAATCCAGCCTGGACCAGCTGCCCCAGCCAACCTGCAGATGCATGAGATAAATCAGTGCTTCGTCATTCATGGCTGAGAATGTCTGATGGTTTGTTACTCAGCCTTTTAGTGGCAGTAGCTCACTGATATGAACACCTAGAAAGGTATTTATAATCCAGCCTCTCACACCCAGATAAGCTTTGGTGCTGATCTTGGCAGTCCCTCCACCACATCACCAATCCCACATGTAATTCTGTCTGCTGACCTCACTTTGCATGCCTGAATGGATGAGGAGCTCACTGTTTTCTGAGGCAGCCAGTGCACCTTTGAAAATATAACTCCTGAACTTCTTTATAAGGAGTCAAGTCACTCACTCTTAACTTCTGCTTCTTGGCTCCCAGGGCCACACAGAATTGAATACTCCTCTTTCCTTCCTGACAGCTGTTCAGAGGTGTGAAAAGTGCTCTGACATTCTCCCAAATCTTTGCTGTTTGTGCTAAACATCCCCTTGTCACTGGCCGTCTCTCACTCCTGTTAGAAAGCCCAGCCCCGGGCCATTCCTGCAGTTCCACCAAACGAGGTCGGCTCCATCTTTCTCCTGCTTCATATGCTCAGAGAAAAACAGAATAACAGAGGTTCATCCAACAAAGCAGAGCAGAGGGCTGTCCCTGCCCTCTCCCTGGACACTGCTGATGTCCCATGTAATGAAAGCTCTTTGGACCACCAGAACATGGATCACGTTGATCCTGAGCTGGCCCTGGACAACAAACCCAAGGCATTCTCACACATACTGTCACTGCACCAGGCCTCTGCCCTCCTGAAATTTCAGATTCCCAAGTGTCCAAGGCATTTGGAAGAAACAGAAGTCTACACCTTCTAACCACTCTTATCTGCCAGCATCCCCAGGAGTAGGAAACAGTTGGAAACTGGCTTCAAAGCAGGCAGAAGAGATTGAGCCATTTATGTAGGAGCCCTCCAGTCCCTGGGAAGTGGGAGCCAGGCTGGGCCCTCTGAGGTCAGTTATACACCACTTATCTCAGAGCCTCTTGCCCCCGAACTGATGGAGAAGGGTCCTCCTAGGACCTGCTCGAGCTTGAGAGTTAAGCTGCAATGAGTTCAAACCAGATTCAGGGAGAAGTTTTCTCAGTTTAATCCTCAACATTCAGGGCTCGTCATCAATTACTTGGCCACTTGGCTGGAGCATGGCAGCACTGTAAATGTGTGCAGACCCCGAGCACTGGCGGTCCATGGATCACAAGGCACAGGCCATTTGGCCCACAAGCCAAGCGGAGGCTTGTTTACAGAAGCCATCATCAGTGCCTGTGGGTGAGTGGGCATCCCATGTCCCAGTGGCCTAGAACCAGGAACCCAGGCGACTGCCTGGCCAAAGATAGCCCTCTTGTCTTAGAAACAGCTCTGGTAATGTCATGCCTTTTCCATAGTGGCTATTTAATTATTCATTATCCAGCTTGGTCTGGGAGTGGGTAGCTTCTTCTGCACCCAGGCTATATGTGTGAAGTCACAGAATCCAGGGCTGGAAAGAAAGTGAAAGACCGTCTTATCTAATGCAGGCTGGATTTTTTTCTGCAAACTGTTTCTCTTACATTCCTCCTATCAAAGGAAGCTCATGACCTGCCCCAAACAGCTTATCATGATGTAAAATATCCTTCCTACGGCTTCTACTTACTGTTCCCACCTCTGCCTCCTGCAACCACATAAACCAAATCCCAATGCTCTAAAGAGCTCGTTGGTGAAAATACCACCTACCTGACTTCTTTAAGCCACATAGCTCCAGTCCCTTCAGCTACCTGCATCGTCCTTTGTGGCAGGGTTTCTGGTCTGCCGAACCCAGGACTCCCTTCTGCAGATGTTTCAGGAGAAAATAACATCACTCAAATGCACCATGGAGGCTCATGTGGCAGGTAGATGGTCAGACAAGGAGCAGGACAAGGCAGCTTTGATGCCCACAATCTTTCTTATGCCATCCATCTCTTCAGCCTGTCCCTCCACGTGGAAAGCAAATGGTCCACTCACTCTCAGTGACATAATTCAAGTGAGATGACCAGCATGGGGGTGAGTCTAAGCACATATCAGTGACTTTGTTAACACCAGGATCCCGTGACTACTGTTGAGCAAGAAAACCATGTTTTTGTGAACAGTGCCAGGAATACGGAGCTGGCCAGTCTTACAGACCTGCCCTTCCTAAAAGTCACAGCCCAACAGAGTAGGCCAAGACCAAGGAGGAGCCTCTATTCAGTGCATTAGTCAGAGCACTTCAGAAAAAGAGAAGCAATGGCACGTGCGGGTATACAGAATCAGATTCATTTTAGGGAATTGGGTAATGTGATTGTGGGTCCAAAATCTGGTCAGGAGCTCAGCAGGCTGGAGACTCAGGTAAGGTTGGCAGTTTGAGTCCACAGGCAGTCTGCTGGGGAGGAAGGAAGAGGCAATGTTGCCAATGAGGAATCAAGGCCTCTGCTGGTATAGTTCCCCATGGCTCAGGGGAGATCAGTCTTCCATTCTACCCAGGCCTTCAGCTGATTGGATGAGGTCCATACACATTATAGAGGGTGGTCTGTTTTACTCAAAGTCCGCCAGTTTAAATGTAAATATCATCCAAAACACCCTCACAGGAACATCCAGAATAATAACGTGATCACATATCTGGATCAAACTAAGTTGACACATAAAATTAACCATCACACCCAGGAAGCCTCTTATCCAGTGACAGGGCATACAAAATGCAGGAGGGACTTGAGATGTTCTTGCCACGAACAACAATAAAAATGCTACCGGAAGCCTTGCTCAAACCACAGGCAGTTTCTCACATTTACATTATCTAAAGACAACACCTGATGTTCACCACACCATTGACTACAATAAAAATGGTTACAAAGTATAGCACTGCCATTTAGCCATCAAAACTGATGTGATGCTGTATATAAATACTTAGTCAGGTGGGAAGATGTTTATATATGTATATGTTTATATTGAAGCATCACAAGATATATGTGTCATTGATAGCCGTGTATAAAAAAGATATTGATTATATTCACCAAAATGTTAGCAGCATTTCTCTCTAGATATTTAAATGATGGGTTTCTTCCTTCTTTTTCTTGCATGTATTATGCCACATCCCCATTAATATCCTGCGCCACTTGCCAAAGAACACAATAAATAAAAGTTTTTCAAGTAAACAAAATGATTTTTACAGTCATTTCTATCACCTAACAATGCAGATAACCCAACATATTTATATAGTATTTGTCTGAGTTATGTTCCAGCTAAATTTAACTAAACTTTTACATGCCACAGCCTGTGGGTTTTGTTGTTGATGCTGCTATTTTGGTTAAAAATGTTTTCAATGTTTTTGATCAGGTATAACAAAGTACTTCATAAAAGCTATTAAGTACTGTGCACATATCAGTTATTTCTAGAAGACATTCTATCCTTAGATAGTGGCTGTCTTATTCCACTCCTATTGTTATAATGAAAAACCTTAGACTGGGTAATTTACAAAGAACAGAAACATATTGCTTATAGTTCTAGAGGCGAGAAAGTCCAAGATCAAGGTACTAGCAGATTCAGTGTCTGGTGAGTCTGCTCTCTGCTTCCAAGAGGGTGTCTTGTGGCTGCATCCTCTGAAGAGGACAGAGCTGTGTTCTCACAAGGCAGAAGAGATTGAAGGACAAAGGGACAGATAGCTCCCTCGACCTCTTTTATAAGGTCATTAATCCCATTCATGAGGGATCCGCCCTGACGACTTAATCATCTCCTTAAGCCCCACCTCCTAATACCATCACATTGGTGATCAAGTTTCAACATACGAACTTAGGGGAACACATTCAGACCACTCACCGTAGTTAGTTCCTTCACAGTCATATTTACGAATAATTATCCCACATTTTCTGCTCTTAGCCGTCACTTCTGGTGAACCTTCAGGGCTCTTTCGTATTTTTCGCAACAACTGTGTGCTCATGGGAAGAAACATCTGACCCCTTATCTGGTCACATGCATGGGCTTTATAACTGTTGTTTCTTACCTTCTGGTTAAGAAACCTGTACAGGTTTCTTATTGGGTTGAATAAGTGCCATACTGGCTTGAAGAATTCTTGTGAGGGCTGTCCTGTGCACTCTACCCACTAAACTCCAGTAGCAAACTTCAAGTTGTGACATCTAAAAATGTCTCTAGACGTTGACAAATGTCCCCTGGGGGGCAAATAAGGTCCTTCCGGATGTTTATCTGATCATTCTTTCCTCCCCTGTTACTCAGGAAAGCTTTGCCCACGTACCACCGCCACTCCTCCGATGCCCATATGATTGGATCTGAAGCTCTTTCAGACAGGCCCGCACTGCTGTAACCAGGGCCTCCTAGGCCACCTACCTGCTAGCAGCATTGCTCTGAGGCCATGTCAGCACAGAAGCCAGTGGAGAGAGGATGCTAGAAAGAAGAAACCACGAGCACGTGGGGAAGTGGGAGGATGCAGACACACTTGCAGGACATTCAAACAACCAAAGGAAACTCAAAGTAGACAAGAAGGCCATGGGGATGGGGATGCGGCTCTTGCTGGGCCTAACTCTCAGAAATTCTGGTCCCCTAAGTTACCCAGGTCACAGGTTCTCCTTCCCCCTAAGAGCTAGGCCTGCTGGCAGGGATGCCATTTTCACCATATAGGGATTGGGGGAAAAGGAAAGAAAAATGCCCTTTCAGATCTCCTTCACACCTACCTTTGTAACTTTTGTGCTATTTTCAGTGTTGGCATGAAAAAATGAAAATGAAAAACAAAGCCACACACCCTGATCAGAGCCTGGGGAGCAGATAAAGGGGGTCATGCTTGACTGACATGTAATCAGCATGGCTTCTCGGTTCTGAGAGGTACCCTCGATCTGACCTCCAGCTTGTCTTGGCTCCTTCAGAGCTTGGGAGCAGTCCATCCTGCCTCCAATCTCAGAATACAAGTCCCTCAGCTTGGAGCTCAAACACCTTCAATGGCTCCCTTCTTTCTGCAAGAGACATCTCAGCTGAACTGAGGTCTTCGTGTGAGTTTCCTGCAGCCGCTGTATGAATGACCACCAGTAGGGTGGCTTAAAACAACAGAAATGTATTCTCAGGCACGTCTGGAGGCCATAAGTCTACAATCAAGGTGTCGGCAGGGCTGGCTCCTTCTGGAGGCGCCGTGGGAGAGTGCTCCAGGCCGCTCTCCTGGTTTCTGGGGTGCTGGCCATCCTTGGCATCCTTAGCTCGCAGCTGCATCACCTGACCTCTGCCTCCATCCTCACATGACCTTCTCTCCGTTGTTTGTCTTCTCTCTTCTTTTTCTTAAGAGGACATTGGATTGTCATTGCATTTGGAACCCATCAGGATGGTCTCATCCTTACCTTAGTTATATCTATAAAAACCCTTGTTTCAAATAAGGTCATATTCACAGAGTCTAGAAGGGCATATTTTTTGGGTGGGGGCACTATTCAACTCAGTACAGTCTTCAAGGGACTCCAAAGTGCGACTTGCTTGGGTTCATTCATTTGTTCACTCACTGACTCATTCATTCAGCTGATGAGCCATGCTTGGCACATCCCCATCTGGGCCAACTTCCTGCCTGCTTTTGGTAGATCCTGTTCCGTTTCCATTTTCCCCTATGCTCCATCCCTTTTCAGGGCCTAGCTATGTTCCCACCTCCTCCAGGAAGTCTTCCTTGACTGTCAGTCCCCACTGATCCACCCCTCAGCAACATAACCACATCCAGATCCTTGACTGCCTTACTGCAATCTGTCGACTGGCTGGGGGCTGTCTTTGCAGAGCCTCCTGCAAGTCACTCACCAAACATGTATTGACCTCAGCTTAGCTGGAATCAGAACTAGATCCACTCTGTAGTGCAAACTGTGCCTGCCTGGGTGTGTGCATGGGGGCGGGGGCAAAGGGCAGAGTGGGGAGGAAGGTCTCTGCCACCAGTAGCTTTCAAAGCACAGCTACTGTGAGTCTCTTTTCTCCTCACCACCCCACAATTCCCACTCCACCTATGAGGAAGTAGGATCTGCATTTCCTCAGTTTGTTCAAATCCACGAAACAAGTCAGCAGCAGCCCTAGGACTGGGGACATGTTTCCATGCAATCCCATCACCAGACCTCAGAAAGGATGGCTGGGACAGAAGTCCCTGCATGCTCACTTCAGTTATTGGCACTTGTCACCCTGTTCCATTCACAAACACTCCTCCTTCCACGTAGGTTTCCTTCTATCTCCTGACTCTGCTATCACTGTTTGTTGGCAAAGGCCTCCAGTCAAATGCCAGTGACTAGAGAAGCAGCCCCTGGGCAGCCTTGAGTGGTCCTGGCAGCGTGGCTGGTGGGCAGGGCTTCAGAAAAGACAGGCTCCTCCCACTTACCAGCGGAAGGACCTTCCACACCCTAAGGCTGCACAGAGGCCACAGGAAGACCTTCCCACTCCTGAACCCCTCCCCTCTCCAGCCACCTCGCGTTGCTAACCAGGGTTCATCATTCCACCGCTCATTGCTGCCTTGCTGTTCCTTCTGCCCAGAAAGCACCTCCTCCCTATCAACCCTACTCATTGTCAACACTCACAGCAGATGCCATCTTCACTGCCATCCCTGCCTGTCCCGAGTTCTGTCCACCCTGTGTTCATGCTTCCAGTGCAGCACCCGGCCCATTGTGATAGAAAAGGAAATGCCCTTCTCAAACTCCTTCACACCTGCCTCTGCGACTCTATTAGGGCTGACCCCTCAGCCACACCCAGCACCCAGAGAGTCGGACGATGCTCATTCATCTTTGTAACCTGGCCCCAAAAAGGGGCCAAGAAGCCATAGAGGTGGCTCTCCTCACTTTGGGCAATTTATTTGTTCCAGGCTATGACTTAATAGCAATCTTTGTTAATCAGAATTATTCATGTATTAATTACAAGCACCAAGGATCTCAAAATGAGCCTTGGCTGCAGGCTGTCTCCCCTCCACCTTCCTGTTCCTAACTGTGGCTAAAGACAGGACAGTTGAAGAAAATGTGAGAGATACGTGACTGCAGTAATATGTCTTCCCAGACATATTCTTTAATAGCAAAATCAAGAAACCCTTCCACCAGTTTCACAAAAGGCCAAATCTGCCCCTCAACTCTAGTTCTCTGAGTAATACCTTTACTTTATGGAGAAAAATGTGGATAGACTAGAGAAGATTCAAAAAAAAAAATTCAAGAATGCAGGATGGTAATCAAAGGCTTTTACTTATTTACCTACCTAAGTTATTTATTTATTTTAACAGCCATTTGGTGGTATAATTGCCACACATTAAGCTACACAGAATTAGAGTAAAGAATTTGATAAGTTTTGACAGATGTATACACTGTGAAGCCATCAAGATAGTGAATATTTCCACTGTCCTCCCACCAAAGTCTCCTCTGCTCCTCCACAGCCCTCCTAACCCAGCCC